CGGCCCGTCCCTCCTCTGCAACATCTCTCCCCGAGCACCCTCTCTTCTACCCCCCCTCCTGCCTCCCCACCCACCGATCAATCCGTACTGGCGACCCAAGTAGCGCATGATCGTCCTGGCGTGTTTCACTCCCTTTCTCTTTCCCTCCCTCCCCATCTGACACCAGCCACGTTCTTCCACCACCAGGTAAGTCGTCAAGCCCTGCGCGCTGAAGGGGACCACCGCCTGCGTGGACGAAGAAGAAATGAGCCGAGGACAGAGAGGCAAGAGGTGTAGGCGAGCGAGGCATTGAAGCATTACCTTGTCGTGGGCGGCCTCGTCTTTCGCGTCCACCCACGCCAACTGGTGGTAGTCGGGTCCCGGGCCCATGTCGAAGAATCGGTCCTGGCACGCAACAGAGGGAAATGGGGACGTGGGCGACGATAACACGGTAGCATCTGACATTATAGCATACGAATGGAAGGGAAAAGAGGGAGCGGTGACCGACCTCATTCCCTTTCAGTGGCTTACCTTCCAGGGTAGCTCCAGGTACGCAAGCAAGTAACGCACAGCCTGTCCGTATTCCCGTGCTCGCCACGACCCTGTACAAGTGAGCGCGCATGTCCAATTTAGATATTCTCGAATGGTTGGTGCACGTGTGGGGATATGCGCGTGTGCATCCGACAGAAGGTCACCCCCGTTCCCATTGTAAAAAGTGAGGCGTCGTGATATCTGCCTTCCTATCCCCTGTGGCCACGTAACTTTCCATCGTTCTCGGCTATTTATCTGTCAAATGCCATTTCCTTTCCTGGACATGCCCTTTCTCCGTTCTCAACATGGCCATACCGAGGGTGAAGTGCGTGTGTTTCCTGTGTCGATGCCGTTTGTAAGCGCGATGGACCATGGAGGACAAGGGGCCAGCCAGAGCTCCAGCCGTCGCCGCCGTGGCCGCCACCGCAAAGAGGACCGTGTGATTATTCTCGTTCTTTGACATCGCTTTGTCTTGGTCGAAAGTACCGGTCTGATTGTGTGATAAGGGCATAGAGGTGAATTCACGGAACAGGGCTCAAGTTGCATCGGCGAGTGTGATACGAGACGAGAAAAGGGACGATATTGCCTTGGCCATTGGTGAGGGGCGTGTTTGTGCCATAATGGGCATGAAACAAGATTCTTGCGGCTTGGTTAGACAGTAGCCGTGTCTGCATCGCGAGTCTTTTGAATAATGGTAAAACTGTTGCGCACGACTTGACTAGTCAATGCATCCTCGTCTGAGAGGTATCTGCCCCCCTCCCGTCATGCGACACCTGCCCTTTCACCGTATATACCATTCCCGCACTCGATCCTTTCGCATAAATTGAAGTACCACCAGTGACACATCATGCTCATTAGAAGCTACTGCGCCGCGCTCTCCTTCATCGTTGCCGCAGCTCTCTTCAGCTCAGCTTTCGCCTTCCTGCCTCCTCCCACGCCCCCACCTCCTACTCCCAAAGTCACGCAATTTAAGCCTTATTTCCGTGCAGTTTTTCATCATTTACTAGCAGTCGTCCTTCCATCGGCAGCCTTATGTTTTGGTGCAGTGCCTCCCCAGCCGGCGAATGCGTTCGGTGAAGACATTGCGGCCAAGGTAAGTTCGAGGACAGAGGTACAAAAAGGGGAACGTTGCACGGTTGGCTTTTCAACACATAGCTGAGCGATCATCTTCATGAATTTCCCTGTAGGTTCAAAAATCTTTGAACGAGGACACGACGAAAAAGTACACGGAGGACGGTATGGACTTGGTGGAGACCCTGAAAAGGCGGTGAGTCTAGAGGAGGGGGAGGGAAGGAGGGGAAGGAGGGAAGGCAGGGAGGGGGGACGAGGGAAGGGAGAATAAGTACTGAGGGGCATGTGCGTAACCGAGAGGGTCACGCTCGCCTTATAGCTTGATTAAAATGAGGTCATGGAGTGCATCTATGATGTGACACGCTCGCCTCCTCCTGCCAATCTTCCTTCTTTTCATGTCACGCAGAACTATCCAAAATAAAGCGAAAAATGACCGAATATTGATGGAAAAGACATTTTTGAACTCTGAGGCGGGCATCTACGGACCATTCGACAAGTGAGAGGGGGGGAAAGGAAGGCGGGGGGAAGGGGAAAGGAAGAGGAGGATAAGGGCAGGATGGATCGCAGTTGGGGGCAAAACCTGTGAGCAGATATCGCGGGGGAGAAGGCTGGTGTACAGGCCCATAGTGCTGGGATGAGATACCCATGAATGCCAATGGGTTTTCATGCACACATTTACCTATCTTTCGCTCATCCTCCCTTCCTCCCCCCCTCCCTGCTTTGTCTCCTCTCCCTTCAGGTTCATCCCCGTCATGAAAAAGGACGGACAATACGTCCTGCTCACCGAAGAGCAGTACAACACGCTGAAAGGCGAAGGGAAAATCGTTGGGAGGGATTTTGTGGTGGACTACCAGGTAGGAAGACTTCCCTCCGCCTCCTCCCCCCTTGCCCACGGTGGTTCTCGTACCGCAAGCCCGATCGACGTCGAGCGTTTTCGGTCGTCGTATTTATCTGTCTTCTCCGAGAGCTACCTTGAGCTCTCTCTTTTTTGGGGGTGGTGGTAGGGCGCCTTGTTTACCGCCTGCGAATTCCCCCTTCTCCTTCCACACTCATGCTTCTCTCGTGTTTGTTCTTACTACCTATGCATCCTCTGGCCGCTCTTGCCTTATTCCCCCCCTACCCTCTCCCTTGCTGCCCTCTCTTTTCCCCTTGGCTCGCTTCGCACCAGGCGGAGAGTGCTCCTGCTGCTGTGGAAGCACCGGTCATCGAGGAAGAAGACAAGAAAGCGACCTCCACAGGTAGGGAGCGAGGTCGAGAAGGAGGGCGGGAGGAAGAAGACGTAAGGGTGAGGTAAAGTGAGCCTTCCTGTACTGATGTGGGATATACGGACAGGCTCATCGTCGCAGAAAACTTTGGAGGAGGATGACGCGGACTTGTTTGAGGATGGAGATGCCGTGTGAGTCTCGAGGAGGACAAGGAGGGGGGGGGTGCGACCGTTCAAGTTGAACAGAGATGGTATCGGAAGGAAAATAACAAAGGGTGCTTACAGGTTCCTTGAGCGCTGTGTCGCGTGTCGCCTGTTGGGTAGCCATGTCACCGTTTATTTCTTTAAATTTTCCGTCTTTTTACGTTTCCTTCTCAATCTTCACCCTCCGTCCTTCGCCTTGTGCATTCGTGCACGCGAATCCCCATTCTCCTCCCTTCCCCATCCCTTACGTCCTCATCGTCTTCAGCAGCATCCGCTTATTGAAGTCATAGAGCCGCTCTTTGATCATGAGCATTAAGGCCGCAGAAAGCACTCCGCGGGTGAGCTCTGGCGCCATGCCTGAACGGGCCCAGCGGGGGAGGGAAGAGGGGGGAGACTGGTGAGAATGGGGGCAGAACACG